GGGGAGGGGGGGGGACGTGGCCAGTGGCCGGTGGTGGCCCTGCGCGGGGCCATGGGGCCGGCTTCTCCCCCCTGCACGGCCGCTCCAGACTCGGACCACACCGTTCTCTCTGCGGCCAGAATGTTCTCTCTCTCTCTCTCTTTTTTTAATCGTCACCCGAGGATATTTTTCCCCGTTGATCTTTAGAGAGAGTGGAAGGGAGGGGGAGAGACAGAGGAACATCACGTGAGAGAGACACATCGATGGGTGGCCTTCTGCATGGGCCCCGACCGGGGACGGGGATCGAGCCTGCAACCCAGGTAGGTGCCCTTGACCAGAACTGAACCAGAGACCCTTCCGTCTGCAGGCCAAGGCTCTATCCCCTGAGCCACACCGGCCACCCAGAATGCTCTTTTAAAAGAAATGCAGATTGGAGCATTGCACGCCCCTGGTTGAAACCTCCCCCGTGGTGTAACGCCCATCCGGCCCCACAGCCTGTAAGTACCTTCTTCACAGGCCCCTGCCCACCTCCCAGGCCTTCTCCTCCAACACACCACGCTCTTTTCTGCCACAGGGCCTTTGCACATGCTGTGCTGCTCCCTGGCATTCTGCATGCGTTCAGGTTGCGCCTCCGTGCTGACAGTCTTAGAGATGACTTTGTTAGACTCTATCCAAGACCTCTTTAGGAGGTGGTAGCTGAACAGCTCATTAATTTTTTTAAATATGTTTTTATTGACTTTAGAGAGAGAGGAAGGGAGAGGGACAGAGAGATAGAAACAGCGATGATGAGAGAATCAGCGATCGGCCGCCTCCTGCACGCTCCCTCCTGGTGATCAAGCCTGAAACCCGGGCATGTGCCCCGACGGGGAATTGAACCGTGACCTCCTGGTTCATAGGTCAACGCTTAGCCACGCCGGCCGGGCCTGGGTCTGTTTTGAAGCCTTAAAACCTCCTGGTGGTTTGCCCTGGCGGGTGCTTCTCGGCGGTTGCAGTGTCAGCCTGAGGACCAAAGGGCCGTGGGTCCAATTCCTGATCAAGGGCATGTCTCGCCTGGCTGCAGACCACATCCCCAGCCCCCTCAGGAACCAAGCAGGAGGCAGCCAATTGCTGTGTCGCCCTCACATCAATGTTTCTCTCTCTCTGCCCCCCACCCCTCCTGCCCTCCCTCCTTCCCTCTCTCTCTCAAAATCAATGGATTTTTTCTCCCCCCTTCCAAGCGGCGTGAGGGTCCCCAGGTCATGTAAATCAGACTTCGATTTCCCTGATTAATTAAAACATTAACGTGCGCACGAAAAACCACCGGGGAAAATACCCCCAGGTGAGGATCAGCAACAGAACGGGCAGTTCCGCGGGGGAAGCGAGCAGAAGGTCAAGGCTGTGCCTGAGACTCTGTGCCAGGGGGACGTGGGAGCCGCCACTGAGATGGGACCCACCGAGATGGGACCGAGGCCGGAGGGACGGGCCGTGGGCAGCGATGAGCAGGCGGGCGTGGCCGGCTGAGCCGCCTTTGACCACTGGCTGGAGCTGGAGCTGGAGCTGGAATTCAGGGGGAAGGTAGGGGCCCGGGACGCCCGTTGGGGACAAAGACGGCAGCGTGGACAGAGCGGTGGGGGCCGAGCTCTCCAGGGAATGCGTGAGCACACAGCGGGCGCCCGCGTCCCGACGCCCCAAGGTCAGGAGGTCAAGGAGACAGGGCCGGAGGCACATTCAAGTGTCTGAGGAGCCGTCCGTCTGAGAGCCTCCGAAAGGGGGAAGGAACCTCCTGGGATGCGAGAAGCGAGCAAGGGTCAGGCCACTCCCGTTCCTTCCCCTGCCCGGGCCGGGGACAGGAAGAAACGGGGAGCTGGGGGGTGGGGGGGTGAGAGAACAGAAAATGAAGAGGGTGACGGGGTCACAGATCTCTGGGTCACAGGTCGTGGCCTCCGGGCTCAGGGGCTCCCGCTGCAAACCAGACCGAATCAGCCCGCCGGCCAGGACCCCGCCCGGCTCCACGGGAGCCATGGCTATCGTCCTGCTTCTCTTCCCATTTCAGCTCCTGCCGGCCTCTCCCCGGGGCCCGGCCGCCTGCGGACGGAGGGGAGGCGGCACCTAAAAGGCTGACGGCTGTCTGGTGTTTTGTGCGTTTGTGTTTCTTGGTGGAGCCCGACACTGGATTCTCCGCAGAGGAGGGCGCTCCCGGTGCGGGCCCTCGGGTG